ACAGGCGTGAGCCACCACACCCGGCCGAAGGCAACGTTTTAATCTCAGGCAATTCGCCCTTTACAAAGATATTCCAAATGATAATATTTAAATTATGTTTATCTTCCCAGGATGCCTTTTAAAAACAAAAAAAAAAGAAAAGAAATTAAGTTTAAAAATAATGTTTCCTGCCTTGCTTTATGTTAAGGACAGTGTTTGTGTCCCCCCAAAATTCATACACTGAAGCCTTAACCCCCACTATTACTGCATTTGGAGATAGGCCTTGATGGAAGTATTAAATAATTAAGGTGTGAGGCACAGCTGCAAACGTAAGAAGCTGCGTTTGCTCAGTTCTGCTCGCCACATGATTTCACAAGCCCGTGACTCGCCCTGCCGCTCTCCAGAATGACGCTCTGAGGACAAAACAGGACGGCGCGCACGACCCCACATCTCCTGTCTGAGTCACTATGCTCCCTAAGAGACAGACGAACCCGGCCTTTGCCTTTTCCTGCACATAGGTGACGTCTGATGGGCCAGGACTACGCCTCTGTCACCCGTAACCGGATGCGCTCTGACACCCAAGCTCTGATGCGGTTCCGCTCGCCTGCACTTCCGGGCACGTCTGATGTGATTTTCCGGGGGCTGAGCCCGCCGCCTGCGCACGAGCTGTGAGCCTAAATGCGTTGCAGACCATCTGAGAGAGGCCCTCTGAGAAAGGGCTCTCGGGCTGTCGCCTCTGTCTACAGCGCTCAGCAAGCCTTCTGAGTAACACTTGCGTCCATTCTTTAAAAGCTTGCCTTTTTTTCTTTAGTCGACGAAGGTTAAACGAGGTCAGAAGGATGAGCGTCCCGACGAGAGGAGACAGCGGAGCGCTCGCTCTCTCTGCCCCGTGAGGACAGGCCAGGAGGCGGCTGTCCGCAGCCAGGAAGAAGAGGCCCTCGCTTGCCGGCATTTTGATCTTGGACTTTGCAGCTTCCAAAGCTGGGAGAAGTACAATTCTGCCACTTAAGCCGCCAGTCTGTGGTGTTCACTACGGCAGCCCGAGCTGACTAAGACACTTTATATGAACGACCACAGACTCGGTTTCATCTAGACCTGAGCTGGAGCCGGGGCTGACCCAGGGACACCCTCTCCTGGCAAGACCTCACTTTTCAGCGTGGGGAGCGGCCTCCCCTCCTGTTCCCAACAGGGAAGATGCGCATCCATCTCTTCACAAAATCTTCTCCGATGAGGGTGACGGCTCGGCAAGGCTGGCCAACCTGCAGCCACTGAGTCTCCCTCCACCCTGCCTGTCACCACGCAGAGAGGCGGCTCCCTTGGACTCTGACCAGAACATATTTGGCCCAAAAGAGCATTTGACTTGGAGCCTTGGAGCTAGGTGAGGTCAGAGGTCAGATGTGGCATGCCTCAGTAGTAGCAAAGGTCACTTGCATGCGATGCTGTTTATGTGGCCTTCGTTTCTGAAAAGTTTCTGGATTGCTTACTGTAGTGATCACCAAGCCGGCAAGAGCCAAGCAGTGGGACATGTGAGGTCTGGGTTTTTGCCCTACTAAAAGCCTTTTGTCACCTACATCTCGGACGTAGCCCTCAGCCCCCAGGCCAAGTCCCCGTGCCCCCACTTGCCTGCTCACTGACGACTTCGGGAGTCATGTTTGGCACGAGCCTGATGGAGAACTTGCCGATCACTTTCCTAGGAATCACGGTCTTGGCCCCTGCCCCGGAGAAGGCGCCTTCGATGCCATGCAGGGAGAGGGACGGGTAGCGCCACCGGTGCATGAGGATGTCTTTCTGCAGGAAAACGGCAGGGGGTCAGAGCAGCTTAGGCTTTTGGTGTCAGCCCTGTCTGCTCACCGGGGAGACGGGAACGCTGGCAGGGAATCAGCTGTGCAGAGACAGGGCCCGGCCTGGGGTCCTGACACCCACTGGCAGGAGGTACAGACACGGGGACCCCCTCCCAGGCAGGGCTGGTTAGAGCCCACCCCAAAGGTGCTCTGGAGCCGCTAGGACACGAAGGAGGCCTCTGCCCAGGTCTCAGCAGCTGCAGGCGCGGCACCCACTGCCTCTCACTGCAGCCTGGATGGCTCAGGTTTACCCAGCGGACCAAAGAGACCCTCTGGAGAAGATGGTGCCCGAGGAACCCAGAGTGTCACGGTCCCACCAACGTCAGAGCTCCTGAGGAGCCAGGTGCTCCAGGGGATGCAACACAGGCCACCTGCAGACCTCCCGGGCCCAGGGCACAGAAGGGGTGCTTGTCCCTACAGGAGAGGAGAGCCAGCCTGCACCCGTGTCCCGGTGTGGACCCGTGAACGCTGATAGGCACCATCCCCCACAGCCCGGGCACCGGTAGGAGGCAGCCTGTTTCCCCAGCGTATGACCGACACTATGACCTTTCTACATGCCCTTTGCATCCCAGAGGCAGGAGAGCATATGCAGCCACCTAAAGGGGCTTCCAGAAGGTTCTTGGGACTTAGCCACTTAACCTGTGGACTTCTCCTTGTTTGTGAACCAAGGCACTCAGTGACATCTGGAAGGAATGTATAGGCCCTGGCATACCCTACCTAGACACAAACACAAAGGAAAAGGGCAGGAGGAACAGTAGTTTGCTCAGAACCCAGCTTTCCCGGACTGGCCCCTTCCATGACGAACCCGCCCTGGTCTACGGCGTCACTGACTAGTCGGCTGCCGGTGGTGACCTGCTCTTCCTACCCCAGAGGACCCTCCCTGAGGTGTCGTGCGTCCCAGGCAACCCCTACTGCCTACAACGGCCTCACTGGTCTCCCCGCTGCAGTTTCAGCCCCACGCCTCCGCCCGTAATTGTCCCCAACGTGGCATCCCGCAAGCTTACAGCGTTGCCACGGCTCCTGTCTCCAGGGTGACGCTGGAGCCTCTCGCAGACCGAGGGCCTTCACGCCAGGCACTGCGGTCTCGTTCCCAGGCCTCACCCTGCTGCCCAGCAGGCCCGTCCCCAAACAGCAGCCGTGGCTATGCTCTTGCCAATGCCCACGGCAGCCCCGCGGCTCTGCCGGCCCACAGCCGCCTCCTGCAGTGCGCCGCGGAGGCTCAGCTGCTCCCAGCCTGCGACCATCCCCTCGCGCACCAACAGCCTTTGATGCCACCCGCGTGGGCCTTGGCGTCCTTCTGTGGTTCTGGGAGAGACAGAACCCGGGGCCACGCTGGGCCTCACTCCTCGGGCAGCCCCGGGGCCACACTCGCAGGCTGTTGCTGGACTCAACGCTGGCTAAGTCGAAGGTGCGGAACTTACAGCTACGCCTCAGAAACCAAGAACTAGTAAGGAGAACAGTCAAGACACGATTTTCCCCAACAATTAAGTAAATACTGAGCAAACAGTCTCCACCCTGGCGCTTGGCTCTGGTGCAGCTTAAGGGATCTTGGCCCCGTGGAGAAGAGGTCTCCCTACGAACACAAATACGGCAAAGCCACCGGGACAGGAGACGGCCCCGCGCGTCCTCTCACACCCCCCCAACCCCGAAAGAAGCCCAAAGGGGGTCCGAAAATCCGAAAAAACCAAAGAACCCCAACCCGGGCAACCCCCGCCTTCCGAAACGCCGGGCCCGCCGCCGAACCCGGGGCCCCCAAAATCCAACCCCCCCCCCCAAGGAACCCCCGGACATGGGACAGGCGACGCAGGCCTGGCAGATGCGCGCGCGAGACCCCGAGCCCGCACCTTGCAGCCGTGCAGGAGGGTCTGGGCCCCCACGTCCTTGGCGAACTCCTCCATGTCGAAGTCGATGTGGTCGTAGAGCGAGTGCTCCTCCTCCGTCACGGCGGCCACGGCCTCGTTAATGCCGGGGACCAGGATGTTCCCCTTCTTGTCGACCAGGGAGCCTGAGGAAAGCGGCAGAGGGTTGCAGCGTGCACGACAGGCGGCACAAAAGCACCGGCTCCTTCCTGCGCTGGCCGGGGACGTCGGGCTCGGGAGAGACGCTGCTCAGGCCCCATCCGGAGCCTCACGCTCAATGAGCCATTTAATCCCCGTAACAGCCAATGAGGGGCCGCGTCACTCGCTTCCGCCGACACAGAGACTAGGGGGCAGGCGGCCCACAGACCGTCCTCCGTCACTGAACGGGATGCATGCTGAGCCCCCCGCTCCACACAGGTGTGCTCTGACAGCCACCGCACCGCCCCACAGGAAACAAGCGGCTCCCACACCGAGGTGGGAGAGCCATGAGTGGGACAGAGCAGACCCCGACCCCAGAGACTACACTGCCGTCACCGGGCCACGGCCGCGGGGGAGGCCGGAGCTGCACGTGGCCTATGGCAGGAGGATGCCAGGAAGGGGAGGGCGTGGTTCTCGCTCTCCAAGAGCTGACGGAGCAGACGGCCACAGACGGGGTGGTTATGAAGTAAAACAGACCAAAGTAAATGCCCTCGGGAGACGTGGAAGATGACAGACCAAGGACGGACGGGGTCACGTGACTCGGTGGACCAGCCAGGACCTGGGGAGGCGTCAGGTGCCTAGATGCAGCGGGGGTCGGGGGTCTTAGAGGGAGTCGGGGGAGGTAAGGTCGGAACCGAGCGGAAGCTGGTTCATGCAGGAGGCGGACACAACCCAGTGCTGACAACAGACAGCCTGCAGGGGACGCTGGGCGCTCCCCCCATCCCCACGGCGCTGACCCGACGCCAGGCCCGGGCTTACCCATCAGCGAGATGAGATCGGTCATGGCCTCGTGCACCGAGCCCCCGTACACCCCCGAGTGGAGGTCCTTGTCGCTGCACTCCACCTGGGCGGGAACAAAGGCCGCTTTATCTGGCTGCTCAATGTGAGCTTATTTTTATCATGTGACAGTAAATTGAACAAAGAGCATTTATAAGACTTGAATATTTTCCAAATCCTAATTTGCTCCCTCAATGACCAAAGCAAGGCTTTTCCCAAATTAAAAAACTTAGGCAGGAACAAAAAATACTCTTGGGTAGGCGAACCGTGAGGAAACTGGACACACTGGCCCAGGTGAAGTATGCGCAGGGCAACCTCTCTGCCGCTCCGCGCCTCTTCCGGAAGTTTCACAAAGACGGTGCATCTGTGTGCTGGGTGGGCAACACCCAACACGAATAATAACCAACAGGGACCAGAGCCCGGGGACCTGGGCTCAGATCTCCCCCACGACCTGGAGCCATGTACCCAGGGCGAGGTGGCCAATGGCTGTGAGCCTCGTCTCGTCTCCGTGTCACACGTGGGAAGGGGAACAGCGCTCCCCACAGCACCGGGACGTCAGGCAGGTCACCATAAAGCCCAGAGTGAGCGCGCGGCGCAGTAACTGCACCATCTCCAGCGCTGCTCAGGCCGTGAAGGACTTCCACAGACAAGGTCTAACTTAACCATGGCCCCGGGGTGCGGGACCCCGCCCTCATCCGGGAGCTGCCCACCAACCAGCAAGCGGCAGAGTCCGGCCCACGCCCAGCCTTTCCCGGGCTCCGGTGCCTCAGTTTCTCTTTACCCACCGCGGCGTCCCGCAGCCCGCAGGTTCCCTCAGTCACGGGACCGGAGCTTAAGCGCGGAAGTACAAATATTTCAACTTTTAAAAGAGAGTGTTCCTGAAATGCTTTGTGTATGTACATCTGAGACTAGCATTTCATCTCTTCTCAGTGGCTCCAAGGCGACATCACAAACATCATGGTCCTGACAGACATCACAGCAAAGCTGAGTCCCAATCGCCGCAGCCCTCGCCTGGCCACTGCCGCGGCTACAGAAGCCGAGAGTCGGGCGCTAAGCAGGCTCTGGGCTTCCCCTCCCGCGTGGCTGACTCCTGGGGACTCGCCTACTTTGGGACAGGAAGAACAAGGAGACCTGGGGGCGGCGCAGTGTGAAATGGAGCCTGGGAAGGCGGCACCACACCTCGATGAAGAAGTAGCAGATGCCCCTGAGGCCGTAGGTGATGCACGGCTTCTTCTTCCCCAGCCAGTAGTTGTCAGAAATGCAGATGTAGTCCACATCTTTAAAGAACTTGTCTTTCTGTGCAAAGATCAGCTCATCCAGACCCTCGGAGCCCGACTCCTCCATGCCTTCCAGGCAGAACCGGATGTTCACAGGAATCTCCTGTGGGCAAGAAATGGCGTGAGCAGGTCCCCAGCTTTGCCGTGCTTGCCTTCTAGAAATAACACACAGGACTATGGATTTCAAATATCTGACCTCCTTCAGGTCGACCGCAGAGCCTGCTCTGTGCACCAGGTGGTGGCCCCTCCCCGGCACCGGCCTGCCCGAGCCCATCCTGGCAGGGAGCCGTCCACACACCACTGTCCACACACTCAGCGCGGGCAGCGCAGCTTTCCCTGGAGAGCTCAGTGGTAACCTGCAGCCTCACCCTGTCTGGAGCATGCTTTGCGGTTTATGGGAGCTCCCCCGACTCTGGGGCTCCCCTCCAGAGATGAGAAAACGAGGTTGCTCGTGGAGCTGGCGATTCGCCAAAATCCACACAGATTAAGGAACGGCAGGGCCTAAATTCAAACTCGAGTCCCAAGCCACGCCCAGAGGGCACTGTTCTCTAGATGCTTCCTCCCCACCCTCCTCCTCCTCTTCTGCCCCCACACGAAACCTTTCACGAGACCTCGATCTGTGCAGCGAGTCTACATGGAGCTGCTCTGAGAAGCTCTGCCTTGAACACGGCCACCACTGAGCCACCAAGGGGTAGCCCCAGACCTCAAGGTGCCTCCACCACCGCTGAGGCTGAGGGCTTCCTAGTTCCCCCCGTGCCCACCACGCAGAGCTGGCCTCGGCCAGGCCAGGGCGGGTGGTTCTGGGAGGCACTTCCTTGCCACGTAAAATGACCCCTGGACCAGAGGGTCGAGACCCTTTTCGGAGCTGACCTCCCATGCTTTGACAAAAATGCTTATCTTATTATTTTACCACAATATGAGATAAAAGCAAGATGCAAAAATGTCTATACGACATGATGGCGATGAGGCTAACACCAATTGAAAATCTTGGTAAATAAAATCCTAACAGTCTTCGAGTATTAGGATTTAGGCAAGTTTTTCTCTCCACTTTTCTGTATTTTGCCAACTTTTAATAGTGGGCAGATATTTCATAGTTAAGGAGATAGATTTTTTTTTAAAATAAAATTTATTTTTAGGGGGACATAAACCACACGGAGCGAGTAAGGGCTCTGTCCGATGCCACAAAGCCCACGTCACGTTCTGGCAAGTGGCCACTCACAGGGACAGTCAACAACTAAAAATTCACATTTCCTGCGCTGGCAAAAACCTTGCCAAGTCATCAATATTATGACCTTTGAGCGTCTGTAAAACAATTAAACTTTTAATGTTTCCTAAGGCTGGAAAACAAACGTACAATCTAGGTCTGAGTCAGCTGCGCTGACACGGGCGTGGGCGGCCAGCGTTCTCCCACGCAGTGACCTTGACGAGCTGCTGTGTGAACAGAAGCTCATCTTTGTGTTGCTAAGACAGAACCAGCGAATCGGGCCGAACTCAGCGTGGGGCGTACCTGGCCTGTCTTCTGGTAAGCTTCCAGGGCGTTCATCCAGCCGGCCACCGGCCCCTTGTCATCGGTTGAGCCTCTCCCATACAGCTTGCCTGGGACAGCAATCAGCAAGTTCATAAAGTCAGGATTACGACAAAATTGAAAGGAGCATATCTCAGGTGAGCATCTGATGACACCCGAGCACGCACGGTCCCCGAGCGCGGCTTCCCTTCCAGTCGGGAGCCCTGAGTCTCCACCCAACGCTGTTGCTGGAATTTACTGGAGAATTCACCACAATCGCAGAGGCAAGTCATGTGGATATCCCCCTCCCGTGGTTGTTGTGGCAGCCAGCCAGCGCTTGAATATCACCGCCAATTGGTTAGCTGGTTAAAACTATTGACCGTGAGCAACTCGGGCCACAGAGCCCAGTCACACTCAGGAAACACTGCACCGTTATTAAAACCGTTACCAAAAAAGAACTACGAATCTCACCCCGCCCAACTTGACAACTAATTCGATAAAGAATAGAACTTATTTATTATTATTCTCCTTCTCTCTTTGCTATCACTTTGAAAACTAGAGGATTTGATATCGCTTCCAATGAGAGCAATCGGTCTCCACAATTCCCCTCCACCCTTGCCTCTGGGACCATCACAGAGGCAGACGCTGGGCTCGGAAGCTGACAACGTGATCCGAAGACCAGCTCAAACCCCCCTCCCACCTCTGCCCCACGACCCAGGGGTCAGCCTCATGGCACCAGGCGAGCAAGGCAGCTGCACACGGCCTGCCGCGCTCAGGCTCGACACCTCGCTGGGCCTCGCGCTGTCCTGGCCAGTCTTGCACTTCCTCACGCTCGGACTGCTTTGACGGTCAGGCGGCTTCGGTATGGCCCACCCCAAAGTGGTGTGAAGCCAAAAGCCATCATTACCTTAGCAATTTCCTTTTATAAACAAAACTCAACTTTTCACAAAAGCTGAAGATCAAATGCAAGCTCTCCTAAAAAAGATCCTCATCCCTGCAACAATCACTGAGCCACTGTGGTGGTGGCACGGTGCCCACGGCTCAGAGGTGTGCCTCAGCCAGGGAGACAAACATGGCCTGCTCCCCCCAATCCCAGGACGCCCCGGCCAGGGTGGGCAGCACGTGGCTGGGGTTGCCATGAAGCTGCTCCGCGGTGAGGAGCTCCTCTAGGTCCATGGACAGTGCAGGGTCCCCGAGAGTGGCACTGGGGAGGGCTGAGAGGACGCCCAGGGGCCGGCCTCACAGAGGACCAGGAGGTGGTGACCGGTGCTGACACCGTGCAGGCGCGCAGGTGGGCCGGGGGAGGAGGCACGCAGGCTCCCAGGGGCTGCGTGTGGTCCCTCGGGCTGGTGCAGGTGGGAGGAGCAGAGACAAGCAGTTCTGCTCCGGACAGAGCGAGTCCACGTGTCCAGGAGCAGCCACGTGGACGTGCGGCCTGACACTCACGAGGAGCCCGAGTGCCCACAGAAGGCCAGTCCCACGGTTACTCTAGTTAGTAATCACCCTGGGCTGAGGACAATGGTATCGAATTAAACTCCATAAGACGTTGCTTTGAGTAAAGTCATTTTGCAGTTTGGCACAGTAATGAACAGAATCGCACTGAGTCAGGAAGGGTCTGAACAGACCCGACGATCCAGTCTGAAGGCGTTTGATGAGAGAGTCGGGAACTTCGCCCAAGGGGGCGAGGCACAAAGGAAGGTCAAAGTCTGTCACGTACAGAAACGTGAACACTCAGAAATGGAAGCAAAGACCTTCACACCAAACGGGGACAGGGAGTAAAGGGGCCAGCCTACTCGGGTCCCTCGGCAGGTGCCCTCGAGGAAAGGCTGGCAGTGAGCAACAGTGACATGGCCACCGTGACCCGGGCAGGACGGGAGGGAAGACTCAGCTCCCGGGCGGGCAGGTGGCAGGTGCTGGTCCTGAGACACACCCCGCCAGGTCGGGGGAGGCAGTGGACCGCAGGCTTTGGGGGCTGCCCTGCCTCAGGTCAGGACGTGTGTCCTGAGAGGAAGCCGCAGTAATAAAGGGAAGCCTGGGGCCCTGGCCACGAGGACTCCTTCCCACCAGAAAGGCAGGTTTCTGAAGTTTCAACCCCGAGGCTCCCGAGAGAAACTTCTGGAACCCAATTTCTAGCTCATGTTAAAAATAACCTGTACTGGGAAGGGAGAGCACGAGACTGTCGGCGACTTTCCGACAGTAACACAGCGCTCACCGTCACGCTCCACCAGGGTGAAGGGCTCGCTGTCCCAGCCGTCCTCCAGCGCCGCCGGCTGCACGTCCAGGTGGCCGTAGACACACACCGTCTTCTTCCGCGGGTCCGAGCCCAGCTTGCTGAGCAGGATGGGAGGAAGGGGGATCTCCGAGCCGTCGGGGAGCTGCGAGGGAGAGGAACGTCAGCAAGGGCAGCCTCTGTTTAAGACGCGCGGCATTCCCGGCACATACCAAAATACCTTGAGCTTTTTTATCCACAACCAACCTCTACTGTAGAGTTTAACGTCGCATTGTTCAACGTAGTCAGTGATGAGTAAGAATTGACTTTCCTGTAATCCAGAGCACATAAGCTCCGTGACGTTTACAAACCACGGGCAGTTGCAAAATTTTTAAAGGCTGATTTTTCTTTAACTTTCTGTAACAAAGCATGGAGGCTGGTCTTGGCAACTTAGTTCATTATTTTCTGAAAAGATGGTTAACAACAACTAGTCTTAAATCAGAAGACACATTTTTGAAATTCTGTGTGTGGATGACCACACGCACAGACACAGTGCACGTGAACCACACCAAACGGGAAAGTGGTAGCTGGTGCTCCGCCTGCGCTGGTCCCAGAGGCCTTGTCAGTCACAAGCCCTCGAGACTGGGGATGTAAGTGAGGCCCAGAACTCTCTCTGGGTCTCGGCAAAGGCTAAGCCATCCAAGGCTGTTTCCAACTTTCATGTCAGGTCGACGTCTCCACCTTTTACTTTAGACCATGGCCCACTCAGGCTGTGCAAAAACCCTACAGCCCACGTAGGTCCTACGATCCAACAGAAAAAACCCGGGATCACTACGGAGTATCACGAGCAAATGGCAGGGAAGGGTGCGAGCACCGCGCTTTTGTTTTAGCTGCAGGACGGGATCACACATACTAGAACATCACACCCCTGTGCATTCGTCTAGTTACTAAAAACTACTGTTCATGAAAATAGGCATTAATAAACATAACACACCAACTAAACTGATAATGCAGTTAAACAAGCAATTTACAATTAAGAGGTAAGATGAGCAGCAAACTGAAAACGAAGCCCTGATCAGGGCAACACTGGTGCCAAAGGGTCCCTCCCCCAACTCTAGGGCTCCCAAGCTCCAAATGTGCAAGCTCATTAGGGAACTTGGCAGGCGGCTGGAATTCTTGTAGGATACAGGATGTTTTTTCAGTAATTTCAGTAACTCTTGTAACCCACTCGCTACTTGTGTGCGGCAGTTGGACTGATGTCCCTCAGCCACACAAACTGCCCTCGGGCTGGGTGTGCCAGTCAGTTCTCACCAGGGCGGCCTGCAGCCACCAGAGGCAAATAACTGTTCCTTAAAAACCCCTGTCCTGGTCACAGAGAACACACGGCCTCAGTGGTCACAGCTGGACCTCAGCTTGCCTGAGCAAGAAATTGACTTTTAAACAATAACAGATTTTCTATAAATAAATTTCTGCTCCATAGAGCTCCAGTGAAATACTTCTGGGCCCATAAGTGAAACTGTTCTGAAATTCACTAGGACCTCAAGCTCCCAACGCCGTCATTCCTCCGTAAGCCTGGAAACACTCCAGCTGCGGCGCTTCCCTGTGAAGACACCCAGGTCCACCCTCACACCTGCCTGAAGTCACCGTCACTCTCTGAACAATGGAGCCTTGTTGCCAAACGAGCGCACGGGAAGAGGAGAGGTGTTGCCACCCCACACTGCAGCTTCTCCGCAGAACTTTTCTACCAGTGACAACATCTTTCAATTCTTGATAAAAGTCGGTGTCATATATTTCAAAATTGTATAATAGTGATTTTAGTCTTTTATAGAAGGTCTTTTCTTTAGAACTGCACTGTAATGTCAGTGATAAATGGAGTAAATCTGTCTACTGTGATGAAACAACTCTTAAAACTTATTTACCTCGCCTAGAATTTTTTTATGTATCAGGAAAAAAGGGAGGGAGAGCGAGTCAAGTGTGCGCCTCAAAGGAAACACTACAAAGACACTTGGTTTATTCTCCCAAGGGTGTGGGGAAATTGCTGGGAAGCTGTAATACATCTTAAGTCAACTATTAAATTTGCCTTCAGAAGAAAATCTCAAATGAACAACACTGGATTGGGAATTTAATCCCGGCTTTGCAAGAAATTTACTGTGGGCTCCCAGTGGATGCAAAGCCCACCGGGGCCTCAGGTTTCTTGCACTGATGAAATGAGTGCACTGAACTCAATGTCCATCCAAAATTCCAGGACTGTGACTTCAATTGGACACCTAAATCATCAGGCAAGAGAACTGAGATAACCCAAAACTTGTCACATTCTGTAATATAAAAGGATATCACAAACTTTGAAAATATACGGCATGAAGCATGCAATTCACCTGGAGCTGAAATCATCTGAAACTAAAATAGTGGAATAACCTACCATGATGTGCAATTGTTCACTTAAGAAGAAAACAAACTGTTCTTACCTGTCAGAATCCTGTCTTAAAATGCAACTGACCCCAGCAACCACCCGCCCCACCGCCCCACAAATATCTCTTATGAAAAAGTGCTGTTCTACCAATTGTGATGCTTTAGGTTGCAGGCTGTACGGATTCGGGGAGAGGTCCTTATTATTTTCAAATTGACACCGGTAAAGTGTAACTTCCTAGTTTGAAAGCCTACTGATTTCTGGGATGGGAATCTCAGCTATTCTCTAAGAACGACAGTTACATTAACTCATTCTTGAGCAACCACCACGGATCTCCTTCCTGGAGAAAAATGCTGAGTATCCCAAAACCTTTGCCCCAGTCCGGCCGAAGCAATCATATACTGAACTTAGGATCCAAATCAGACCCTCCTGTTTGTTTTCAACACTAGCAGGACATCTGAAACGAAAGCTCTTTCCTGAACTCGTGGAGTCCGATCAGCTGCGGGCAGATCGTCTGTGGCTCTGCAACGCGAGGAATGCCGGCTTATACCTTTTGTTTTCCGATGTCCACCAGTTCCACGGAGCCGCCCAGCTGCTTGATGTCTGCAGCCGCGACTTCCATCATCCTCCTGACTTCGCCTCTCTTCTCGGGCCACGCGGACACACTCTGGATGGCCACCCATTTTGCAAGTTTCTGTGTGTGGATAACAAGCAAAAAGGGAGTCTGAAAAGGTGTTCCTTGAGGCAGGAAAGGTTTTCATAATTTTGCCAGATTTCAGGCACACAAAGTTCATTTACTGCCTGTGGCCACTCCATTTTGAACAGATGGAGAAGAATAGACCCATCACATTTGCTTTTTGTTTAAGATTTTAAAAACTGTTTGTACTAACTCCATGCCAAGAACTAGAGCATGAAAGAAAAACTGTCAGAATGTGTATTTTTAACCATTAGGGATAAAGTGAATGTAAAATACACAAAGGTCCATAATTAAGTTTACATTTGAATCCAAGGAAATTACAACTGAAAGATACAAAAAACACCCAACCTTGGCACAGTCCACATCTGCCTGTTTATCATCCTGACAATGGCCAAGTTCTCAAAGTATAACTTTTAGAATGAGAATTCTAAAGGTTTCATCTGAAATGTGTCTACTAAAAAGAACCTTAAAGCATAATTCTTTAGGTTAACATCAAGAAACAAATTAATATTTAACATTACTGAACCACTTATAACATGCTAAAGGCGAACTAGTTTTTCACCTTCCCTACCATAAGATATTGTAGATGGAGATTAAACAAAAATCTTGGATTACCTTTGCTATTCTCAGAAACATATACTAACACTTTCTGTCAAAAGCCAAATGTGTAACTTACACTGTAATGGGAAGGTGGAGGAACAGCTCTCTAGGTAACACTTTTAATACTTGATTTAAATGCCATCACTCATATTAGCTTCTTGAAAGTTCTCTGAGCCCCATAGGATTAAACCAAAATTTAACATTTACTAGAATGAAATATTCCCTTACCTTAATGTAGTAATCCTGATTTTCATCGATGTACTTAAACAGGGTAGTAAGGGCCGACATCTTTCCACCAGATCCCAGGCGCAGATCTCCACGATTCCTGGAAGAGCTGCAGGTCAGTCCTGCCTCTAGGAGGGACAGGCTGGGCTGTAAAGTGCTACCCCACCCCCCAGCATTGCAACATCAGCATCACGAGGACGCCCCAGGAAGTGACTGCAGCTTCAGAGACAAAAGCTCTGGGAACGAGTTGGAGACGCAAATTGATCTTCCTTTCTTTCTTGGAAGGAAAATCTATACAAAACTGGGTGTCAAATGGCAGCTAACCAAAGGAAGGGCCCGAGTTTAAGACAATCCAATGAAACTAAAAGTAGGTACTTTTGAGTTTTACTGGCACTTACAATTTTTTTTTCAATTCCTAAAGCACACAGAGAACTTTCCACTTTCTGTTACCATGAAGCACATAGTCCCTTCAGGGATCCCGGCTAAGATGTCACATCCTGCCTCTACCACAAAACCCACAAGCCAGACAACAGAGCCCAAGGAAAGCCAGATTCAGTTTAGGAAAGTTGGTGATTGTGGGCCAGGAACAACCCAAGGGCAACAGCTAAACCTCTGAGAACCTAAGAACTTCCAGCGACTACACAGCTGCCCGGCACATTTTCTAACATCCAGTTTTTGGTGCTTGAGACCGAGCAACTCTGTTCCACCTTACAATAAAGGTGAAAACATATTACTTGACTATTTTTAAAAACTGGAATGAATATGAAATAAAAATGGTTCTGGTATTGGGACTCTCAAAATTGGCCCTCTCTCCCTTCTTCAATAGACAATTGGGATTCCTTCAAGTGACAAGACTGAAACTTCAGCAGCAGTGTAGAAGACATCAGCTACACTCAAATTCCAGCAAATTCGGTTCTGAGAGTTTCAGAATCACAGCAGGGAGTGACAAGACCCTATTACAGTGACGTAGTTCCGGAGCACGATGCCAGATAAATGCCTGTGCATCGGCATTCTGTAGGGAACCAGCACTTTCTCTTGGCATAGGATTCCAAAGGGACTTCTAAACAGAGAGGTGGCTTTATCCACTGTGGCGCAGTGTGGTAGCTGTTTAGAAGTTACTCAAGCTGCGCGGGGTAATGAAATCACAGGGTACTGCAAGTAGCAAACATGATTTCTGTTTGGGTGGGGGATAAAACTACTTCCCTCTCAAGTGCCCTCTTCTTACTCTTCAAACTGCAGCAACAGAGCTGAAATATTTACATTCCTCCCAGCCAATCCAGATGGTCTCAGCCGAGGCACTCATGCGGAAGAGCCTCGAGTGAGACAGAGTCCACAATATTGTAGAGGCCTTTTATGAGTGTTAATAAGGTGAAACTTTTATCCACCTGTTGCCAAAAATGTACACAGGGAAGCTACTTGTTTACCTTAAAAGGAACTCTATTTAGCAGGACAATATGCTACACGGGATGTTTTTCATTTGGGTTCACTAAATACAACTAATCCCAAGCTCACTGTGGTATATTCTCATTAGTATTATGTTCTTTGTAGCCAAATTAACCAATGGCCTTCCAGCTAAAGTCATTCAACGATAAACTAGTTATGTGCCGAATAACAATGTTTCCATCAACCACCAAAGAGGGACCTTATTAAAATTGGGTCCCATAAGAATATAATGGAGCTGAAAAACTCCTTTTCCACGTTTGGATACATTTAGATACACGAGTACCAACTATTGTGTTACAAATGCCTACAGTATTCATTACCAAACATTCTGTACAGGTTTGCAGCCTCAGAGCAACATGCTATACATACAGCCCAGGAGTGTAGGAGGCTATATCACTTAGGTTTGTGTAAGTCCACTCTAGGGTGTTAGCACAAGCAAGAAATCACCTGGCGAATTTCTCAGAAAGTATCTCATCCTTAAGTGATGTATGACTATAATTATCTAAGTTGCACCTTTCACCAAAGTAGTGTAGACAGAGACCACAGTTTGTTCAGCTATCGATGCAAAGCCATCAGGGCTGGGCTAAGAGCAACTTCTATTAACCTTAACAGGGTCAAAACAGGTTAGGGCAGGTTCCACTTTCTCTCTCCCACTCATTGTTCCGGGTTATTCCTGTTTCACCTCCCCTAGTACCAAGGCCCTTAAATGGAACCATTTTTATGTCTTGAAGGACCCCATTTCCTAAGGTAAAAGCAATATGTTGGATAGAGCAAAAGCAAAATTATCCTTTCAAATAAATAACAGCCTCACTCCCCTTTTGAAATCTAAAGTTCATGGAAAGCAACATAATTTAAACAGGCTAGCAAGCAGGGAAGCAGAAATTACACGAAGCTCGAAGCTCGCTCCTGGAACTATGCGGCAACACACACATATCACTCTTTTGCTTCTGAGTATCAACACTTGTCCCTTGTTAGTTCCAGGTATATATTAAATACCTGAATCATGGCCTCATGTCTGTTAAAACCACTAAGACAAGGGTAGGATTCTCCAATTCGCCAATATAGAACTTCGCCCTAAACACACTGTGAATGTCTCCTCCTCCACTCCTGCCAGCAAACGTTAGGGACAAGGTATCAGCAGCAGGCCCCCAGGTTCTCAGCCTCATTACACTGAATCTACACTAGGATGACCTCGGAATCTGACTTTGGCAGTGGGGGAGGGGAAGCAGACTGGTGGCCCCGTCTGTGCGGCCCAGGGTCTCAAGGACCTTCCTGCAGTCTGACCCAATATCTCCTCCATTTTACAGGTGAGGACACTGAGGCTGATGTGTGACCTGCCCAAGACCAGCAAGCTGGCGAAGGGACTTTGTCTCCTCTCAGGCGCTTCCTCCTGCAGGCAACCTCCCAGCCCCACACGCGGGGCGCGAGGAGCCCTGTCCTGGGCCCTGTGAACCTGGGGCGCGTCTGTCCAGCAAAAGCAACCTAAGGCTCCGGGAAAGGGGTCTGCCGAAGGAGGCTGGAGTTCTCCGCCGGCCTCTCGGGGAGGCGAGCGACCGACCAGCACTCCCCGCTCCCGGCGACCCCACCCACAGCCAGGGGGCCACCGGAAAGTGTCAGGCGGGCCCGAGCGAAGCGCGCCGCCGACCCTGGGTCACCGGCCATGGGCGCCCCAAGTGTCCCGGCGCCGCTCGGACCCGGCCGGCCGGGCGCTGCGGGCGGGTGGCCTGGCTGCCCAGAGCCGCCCGGGGGTGACCGCGTCCCGGGCCTCTGACTCCGACCGCGCTCGGGCACAGCCCGCATTGTTCCAGCCTGGCTGCGGCCCGGACCCTCAGGATCCCCAGCGAACGAGGCGTGACTCGCGCCGCTGCCCCGGGGCCCTCCCCGTCCGGCCCGCTCCCGGGCTCGCACCGCCCATCCCGGAAGGCCCCGCCGCGGGGACCCAGCCGCGGAGCCCCACTTACCCGCAGCGGGTGGGACGCCGGTTCCGCACCACGTGTCCACGGCCACGCCCCCGGCGCGGGCCCGCCCACCAATCCCGGCCAGGTTCGGAGGGCTGGCGTCGCTCTGCCCCCGTCCCTCCCACCAATCCTCTGCTCCGTCAGAGGCCCAATGTCGCCCCGCCCCTCCCCTTCCACCAATCCCGGTCTTGCCCAGAGGGCTGGTGTCGCCCCGCCCCTCCCCTTCCACCAATCCCGGCCTTGCCCAGAGGGCTGATGTAGCCCCGCCCTGCCCTCCGTCGCCCCGCCCCTCCCCAGCGCTGTGTGGAGTGAGGGGCGGAGCGTTGGGGGCCGGCATTCCCGGGGCCTTGCCGGGGTTCCTGGGAACCCAAGCTCCGGGAGCACCTGGCCCGCGCGGTGGCCTCGCGCTGTGCTTCCCCGCTTGCTCCGGGGTGTGGTCTGAGAAGGCGCCTTTAGTGCAGCTCTGAGGTCCGAAACCGGGGGCCCACACTCCGCCCCGGGGTGCCCCGACTTTGGGAACCCCCGCTGACCCCCGCGCCTGTCCCTGCCACTCCAGGAAGGACAGGGACGTTCTGCGGGTAGCACGTTCCATTCGATGGAGCTTTGATCCCTAGTTCGCAAAGCCCCCCTCCCGGGCACCGGGACCAAGAGCGGAGGCGTTTTAGGGTTTAAGGGCCCTGACCCAGGCGCTGGTGAAGGAAGCGGACCCCCGCCCCGCCTGCTGCGGTCTCAGCCTCACCCGGTCCTGGGGGAGCTGTCACCCCATCTGCTCAGTTTTCCTTGGCCTGTTAACGAAAGCATTTGGCAGAACTCGTACCACTGCCACGTTCTTTAAGTAGTGACTACTCTGGCATTATTATTTTTTTAATTAATTTGATAGCTGCAAGGGATGTCATTTGTCACATACTGTAAATATTTTAAAATAAAATTACTTCTCCCCTTTAAACTTTACGTGGTTTGTTTTCTCTTTAGACTTCAATTTCCATTCCACTTCCCTCATAGAATTTTGTCAAATGTAACATTTTTATACTTGAGGGTCTTTTACTGATGAGTGTTACTGGCGGTGAGCTCCTCAGTTCTTCCTGCCATGGAAGGACAGCAAGAGACAGTTTTGGGCAGCAGAGGGGTTAAGAGCAGGCACACGTCCAAGCCCAAGCGGACTGTGGCCCTGGGGTTTCTGTGTCACAATCACCGACCGATCACCAAGCCACAGTACACTCCACCTGGGGTAGGAGCGGGCACAGGTCCCAGTGGCCCTGGGTCTTTGTGCCGTCCCTTTTTCTCTTGTCTGGACTCTCACCTTCCTGATGTTTTCCCCTCCTCTTCTTTCTTGACCAGTGGGGATGTTGTCTCCTTCCTGTCGTTGGGCAGCGGCAGCGTTTCACCTTGTCGTGGTTAGGCCTGATGTATTGCGGTGTCCAAAGCTGGGGCGGGGACTGATGTATAATGTGCCCTGTGTTGTTTCCGCCACATTTCTTGTGCTAGCTCTAGTTACTCCTATCCTGTCATTGTCGCAGCGTGTTCCCTTACTCAGCGTGCCATTTGTTTGCGTTGCTTGCTTTGATATTTTCTCTGCTCGTCTCACTTTTCTAATGCTAACATTCTGGGCCTCTTGCTGTCACCTTGTCTTGCAGTGTGTTTTCTTACGCAGTGTCCCGTTGTTTACATGGCCCGTTCGTTGTTCCTCTGTTCACGTCTTGCTTTCCCACATACACTAACAACACTACCATTTCTCTCTACAAGAGAATATATATAAAAATTTAAATTAATATTTACTTCCCTATAATCAAAAAGCTCTAAGTGTTAACATTTTTTTCTTCTGGATTAAATTCTTATTACCTTGCTTATTAGTATATGAATGATTTTTAAAAGATCTATATATATTACACATTTTGGTAAATAAATTTTAGATATTAAAAATAAAAATTATTACGACTAGATCTTTAATCATATCTATTGGGATTAAAAAATTAGTTCAGGTATCCACAAATGAGGTTATTGCTGGAATGAGACAGGGTTTGGTGAAAAATACAGCAAAAAGAAGTCATTTAGAGTAAAATCCATAACAAACTACTGTCACGTTTATCAAAATTTAATAAGAACATGGTGGGGATAAATAAATGAGCAAAGACGCTGCTGACAGACGAGAGCAAGCACTTGGGCCCAAATAAACGATGAATATGCGCTTGCGATACTGGATCATCGTTTGACAAAAGCCAGTAAAAATGTTTCTCCTGTGAATCTGAATAAATGCTAGAAAAATACAGAATTTATCCTTAATGTAGAACCCTTTTACTCGGATATATGTCAACTGCCAGAAGGTAGAACTTTCTAGGTCCTGCCCCTTGAAATAACGCAAACTACGCACCTGATCAGTGTCCTCGATCAAGGAGGCGTCCACCAGTAACACAGTGTGGTGTTTCCAGTTGCCCCTCTGTTTGCAGCACCCGAGGCCTTTGGAGTTAATAAACATACAGCATTTAGAACAATGCCTGGCACCGAAGCCCTGGGAACAGGAAGCCTGGCCGAGGCCAGCGCTCAGCTCCACTGCCGGCGCCTCCTAGGAGAGAGCCCCTGCGGAATTTGAGCGGCTGGAAATTGATGCCCTCACAACTCTCTGAGTCCTCCTTAAAAAGTCTCCTTGTGCCCTCAGGTGTGGCAGTCTGAAGACCGCAGCCTTACCAGGCAGTTAAGTAAATGCTACACCTGAGCCTGCGTGTGCATAGCTCTGAACCTCCAGCAGGTGGCCCTGCACGTCCATCTCTTCCCGCGGGACGCGCGCATTGCAGGTGGCTCGGCAGCAGCAAAGCTGATCTTCGCTTAAAGACCTAGATGAATTGTTCCTATTCTTCTCCAGCTGCTGCAGGTTTTAGTTCTCAGCATGAGACAAGAGCTTCGTCTCCAGAACCCCAGTCAGTTCTGTTTACCCAAACTTAACTAGACACATGGTCGATGGGAGCATGCACCCCCGGAAGACAATTTTCCTGGAATCAGAGACCACTTTGGAGAGTATAATTGTTCTCCAGATGCAGAGAAATAGTTGGTAACTGTTTTAGAGAATCACTGCCAAGTAGGATGGCGTAAAGAAGAAAACCGAGTATAAGGAGATGAGGAAGGGACAGTTAGGTGTGGACGCCACATTTTGTCAGCCTTATGCAGTTGGTAGACTCTACTCCACCGCGTGGTTGGTCTCTAGCAGTCTCTCTGGCCCTAAGTTCATTCCCAGGCACCAGCCAATCTCATTCTCCAGACTCAAATGCTCCTATTTCCTCTGGCCAGCCGGACCTCAATCCCCCAGCCCTTCAAAACTCAGTATGTCCAAAGCCAAACTCATGACTTTGCTTCCCTCCAACTACCCCCGTCTGTGGTGGGCAGGATTCTGAGATTCCTGCCTCCCACTAGAGCATGGTGGGCCTGACCTAACCAAGCTCTTTGGAAGAGGGTTTAGAGCTCCGAGCTGAGAGGAGTCAGTGAGATTTGCAGCTGCCGCGGATGTTCTCCTGCCAGCCTAGAGGACCAATTGCCATGCTGTGGGGAGGGCCACATGGCAGGGAATGGTGGGCAGCCTCTGGGGACCAGGGCCTCAGTCATGTGAATTCTGCCAACAACCAGAATGAGCTTAGAAGTGGATTCTTCCCCAGTCAGCTCTCCAGGTGACACAGCCCAGCCCACACTTTCACCGCAGCCTCGTGAGAGCCTGCGCAGAGGGCCCGGCCTGGCCAGGCCCAGATGCCTGAGCCACGGAAACTGAGCGACAAGGAGAGCATGTTGTCTGAAGCTGCTCAGTGCGTGCTAATTTGTCACGCAGCAGTAGAGAACTAATACAGCCCCATATCTTAGAGAAAGATGTTATGATGTTGTGCTATTTTATTCCTTTGTAAAAGTACAGAACATTTCATGGCTGTGTTTCTGGAAATTTGTGTATATATGTGTGTGTGTGTGTGTGTGTCTTCTGATTTAACAAGCTGATGAAAGTAGCTACCAAGCCAATAAATTTTGGTCTCCAATGTGCCACCAGAACTGACTTAGGAAATTTTACTGCTTCGTGCTATGGACTAAATGTTTGTGTCCTCACAAAATGCATGTGCTAAAACTCTAGTCCCCTGACTGCTGGGAAATAATTAGGTTCGGATGAAGCCGTGAGGGTGGAGACCCCATGATGAGCTCAGTGCCCTCATGCGAGTGACAAGAGGAAGAGAGCAGAGCCCTCTCTCCCTGTCACTCGAGCTCAGAGAGAAGACGGCTGCCGTCTGCACACCAGGAAGAAGCCCCCGCCAACATCAAATCTGTTGGCATCTCGCCCTGGGACCTCCCAGACTCCAGAGCCGTGGGAAATAAATGTCTGCTGTTTCAGACGCCCAGTCTGTGCTATTTTGTCACAGCAGCCTGAGCTGACTAAGACAACTCAGCTTGTAATTTCAGTTGCTTGGCCGAGTGCTCGAGTCTCGTATCAAACTTTAAATATCAAATGATGACAGGAAGTTGTGGTCCAGTCTCAGATCACACAGACAAGGAACGTCCTCTGATCACTCGAGAGTTCCATTGGGGTTTGATTTGGCCAAATTCCAACTAAGAATTTGAAGACTCTATAGCTGGATTCTTGAATA